AACAAGAAGAGCTATTCAATACTTACTAGATCATGAAAGAGTAGATAATATAAGGGGTGATGGTGATAAAGGATTTCAGGCAGCTATGGCTCATTATTTCCCACAAATTAATTTTTACTTTTCATCCTCTCCATATACGTTTCATAATAAAATAGTTGATGCGGTAATGAGAACTCTTAGAGATGCGTTAGGGGTTAACGGTCAGATATACTGGGATGGAAATCATGACTCCATCATACAGCAGTTAGTATATTATTACAATAATACATGGCATAGAACTATAAACATGAAACCAGTGGAAATGAAAAATGATATTTCAAAAGAATGGGAATATATTAGAAAGCAAATGGAAAGGTTAAATGATGTTAAACGTGAACAAATTAATTCGGGGCTCATGAATTTTAAACAAGGGGATAAAGTTTTGATTCATCTCGATTATGGAAAAACTGATAAATTAATGACAAAAAGAAGACGAAGATTTGACACAATAGCTGAATTTGTTAGATATATTAACGGCAATGCATTAGTTGAAGTTGACAATAAATTAATAGAAATTCCGATTTATTTTATTACTCCATTATATTTAAATAATATTTAATTTTTTTTATTTCGTAAGAAATGAGTGACAACGAAGCAGTCAAGAGTCCAGACGATGAATATAAAAAGAAACTAAACAGAATTAAATCAAAAATATGTTATTACAAAAAGAAGCCACAATGTGGTGGGGTTGAAAACAATAAAGAGAGGAAAGAAATAATCGAAAAATTAGAAACTTATCGTTCAATCCTTAAACTGAGTGAAGCAAAAATAAAAGAATTTAATAGAATAAATAAATTGATTGGAAGAGATGAATTTAATAAAGATGAATTTTTAAACTCTATCCAAATTTAATTTTTATTCCTCTTCGACAACATCTCTCTTTCCATCATTACCGCATAACCACATTTTCTCAATTTTAGTGGTTTGTTATTTTTAACATGTTCTTGCATCATTTTTATCATTTCCTCCCTTGTTATGATTCGTGGTAAATTTTGAGCTTGTGGGGTATTCATTTATGATAAAAATAAAAATTTGATGTTATCGTTATTTTATCGTGAATGTTTTTAGGTCATTCAATAATTAATTATTTTTGAAGAACCGAAGGTGCTACCATGTTACCATGTGCTACCAGGTCATTTAACTTTTCTGAAAAAGTGTGACAACATGACATTTTGACAACAACATAGGAGGAAGGTAGTTATTAATTATTTTTGAAGAACCGAAGGTGCTACCATGTTACCATGTGCTACCAGGTCATTTAACTTTTCTGAAAAAATGAGACAACATGACATTTTGACAACATAGACAAGATTTAATTGAATTATCATCAAATCCTTTAGATGTATGGATAAATACACATTATGATGAATTGTGTGCAGGTATGACGTGTGAAAATGCTCTATTCTGCAAACCATCAGACATGAAAGACAAAAACTTTCAAATGAGTATTAAGGATAAATGTGATAGGAAACATAGAAGAATAGACGGTAAACAAACATGGTGTTATGTTTTGAAAGAAGAAATGAAAGGATTATATAAACAGGTTGAACCAAACGATAATGAGGATTCATTTACTGATGATGAAATACCTGTAAATGAGCCGCTAAGCGGCGAGACCTGAAGGTCTAGCTTTATAAAGTATGATTGGAATTTATTTTTGCATTAATCCTGAACTGTTGTCAAAATGTCATGTTGTCAAAATGTCATGTTGTCACACTTTTTCAGAGAAGTTAAATGACCTGGTAGCACATGGTAACATGGTAGCACCTTCGGTTATTCAAAAATAATTAATTATTGAATAACCTAAATCATTTACTCACAATATTTTTGTACAAAACGACCCCAAACTTTTAACTTCTTTTCTGCAGCTTCAAATGCTATCTTAGTGAGTTCATATTCTCTAAATTCTCTCTTTAAATCTTCTTGTTCCCATTGGTCTAGTTCGTATGGAGAATCTCTATAACCATAATATATCTCACGTTCATGTTCTAATTGTTTTTCACACATTTTTCCAACTTCTTCTTCAAACAAAGGTTTAGCATTCTCTACTGTATCTTCAAGTTCTTCTTCATCTAATTTCTCATGAACTTTCTTGTCTATGGAGTCCATAATATCTTTGACATAAAATGCATACTTTACAGAGCACCATTCAGCAACAAAATGAACGAGGTCAGCATGTATGTAAATACCTTTGAATTCATTCATAACACCCTTAGTAAGCTCATAAAATGCTTGTTTTGAGGTCGAGCCACTTTTGGCTCCACCGTATTCGTTCATCCAAAACTCAAGAATTTCCTGCATTTTAGTACTATTGAGAAATCTGTTTAAATGGTTTAACTTTCCTGCTTCTCTTGCCATCTTTGTTGCATTAATGTAACCATCCTTGTCTCTACGTAAGACTTCAATACCGTTATAAGTGCCTTTTGTGAATGTTTCGCCATTAGATTTGTTCGTGAATGTTTTTGCTTCGACTGACATTTCTGTTCTTACATACAAAATAAAAAAATAAAAAAATAAAACTAACTTTATTTTTGGGTCATTTACACTCATTCCGATGAAGTCATGACAAATCATTTCCTGTGTTGTTGTCAAAATGTCATGTTGTCACACTTTTTCAGAGAAGTTAAATGACCTGGTAGCACATGGTAGCATGGTAGCACCTTCTGTTCTTCAATAATTAATTATTTTTGAATAACTGGGAAATAAATTTACGTCAAATATGCAATTTATAAAATCTTATGTCGACAGGCTACGTAGCACAGTGGTCTAAGGTGGTGTTATGGAGGGGTCAAGGTCTGTGGTTCGAACCGCGACAGCGCCGTATTTTCTTATTTTCTTTGTTTGTCTTGTTTGTCGTGAATAAAAAGTATCATAAAAGTGCTCTATCTTCCACGGAATAAATAAAAAATTTACTTTATTTCTTCTTTATTTCTTCTTTATTTCTTTGTTCCCGTGGAAGAAGGGTTTTGATGTTTTTTCTCAGCCGAAATCAATGATTTTTTCATTTTTGGAATCCTTAGCGAATGAGGAATCTTTTCTCTCGTGGAAGCTTTGACCTAAAATAAGCCGCTAGCGGCAAGGGCGAAGCCCATAATTTAGGTGAAGAGACCCAAAGGGTCAGAGCCGCAAAGCGGCTAGGTGAGATATCACCTGTTTTTTCACCTGTTTTTATGGTAGTAGTGAAATAAAATTTTGTTATCAGTTATTTTATCATCATTTTATTAACTTCATCTTTAGTTAATAATTTGAATGGATTCGCTAATGTTCCACCTTGAGTCACAACACCTACCCCGGCTAATTGTGAAGAACCTGGGATAAGTACTCCATGAAATGATTTCATTGGTATCATTAATTTAGAAATAGTTGGCTTAATTAATTTTGTCATTTATGATAAAAATAAAATTGCATAATTTAAATTTTTTTCTTTCTCATTTTCTCATTTTCTCATCCTGTTTTGGTTTCAGCAACTTTTCAAGTTGTTGTCTTGTCAGTAACTTTAATTTTAACTTTGGATCAAATATTGGGTTTCCATCTTTATCTCTTCCAATAACACCATATGGTAGAATCTTCATTTATGATAAAATAAAAATTTAAATTATGCCGTTCGCTCTTTTGGAGCTCCTAAAGTTTGTTTCACAAACATTGAGCGTTCATTGAACTCTATACCATGCGAATACAGTCATGTAAGGTGGCATGTATTCTTTACTTTGTCCCGTTGTTTGCGTATATCCTGAAACGAAATGTGTATGGTTTCCTTCTCCCTGAGTGTCGCTCCAGTAACAATTTATAGCAAATTTAACGTCGTCTTTAACATCATATCCTTTACCTTTTGTCATTCCTGACCAATCCCAATATCTATGCTTATGCCAACCTGCTTGAGATGTACTTAAATCTATGTAGTGACTGTGTGCAGGTAAATTTTCACCCGTAATTGTTTTACTTCCCCCTGTTTCCTTTGAAGAGTTTGCACAATACAAAAACCTGTCGACTATTTGTTCCCATGCACCAACACCAAACATTGCTTGAGGACCTCTCACATCCATAGATGTATAAATAGAACCTACTGGGTTCATTAAATCAAACATATGAGATATTATAGGATTGTCTCTTTTGAACTTAAAATATAGTGTAACTATTTCGGGTTTCTTCTGGTTTGTGTCAGAATATTTTTTATAATATAATCTTATGTTTTCAGGGTATGTAAAATCTTGACTATAATATTTATTTTTGTCATCTTCATAATAGTATACTATTCTCGTTTTTTCTATTGCATTATATCTTTTATATCTATAATAATCTAAATATAATGTTTGCTTTTTTGGGTCTACATGTGCGTCAACACCATAGTCATAATAATACGGTGCTGGAGCTACGTTAGACAATGTCATATCCGTCATTTCATAAACTCTTAAATATTTCTTTTGTTCGTCTCCATATAAGTTTAAGTAGCAGTTGTTGTCTAATGGAACTTTAACTTGTGTGCCATTATTCTTTATATAGCCTACATACATTTCATTGTTATTTTTCGGAATGAGTTTATACCGTATACCATTTCTTAAGGAGTGTACAAACTCCCATCTAAAATATTTGTTTTCTTCATTGACAGAAAAGTCGCCAACAATAGTTTCAATATTTTTTGTTGTTCCAACTAAACTTTGGTATATTTCGTTAACAAATGATATATCTGCTTTCTTTGCTAACTCATCGTTAACAAATGATATATCTGCTTTCTTTGCTAACTCATCGTTAACATAAGTTTTATCTGCTTTCTTTGCTAACTCATCGTTAACAAATGATATATCTGCTTTCTTCCCTAACTCATTGTTAACATAAGTTTTATCTGCTTTAAGGTCTAAACATTCTGAAACCCATCCTGTATCAGCTTTAGTTTTAAGAATCTTCGATGTCCGTTCATGATACCATTCAACCCTTTCTATAATTTCATTATCTTTTTCATTAACATATTCCTTATCTGCCTTCTTCATTAATTCACTAGCCACAAGTCCCTTATCTGCCTTCTTTGCTAACTCATCGTTAACATAAGTTTTATCTGCTTTCTTTGCTAACTCATCGTTAACATAAGTTTTATCTGCTTTCTTTGCTAACTCATCGTTAACATAAGTTTTATCTGCTTTCTTTGCTAACTCATCGTTAACAAATGATATATCTGCTTTCTTTGCTAACTCATCGTTAACATATTCCTTATCTGCTTTCTTCATTATGTCATTTAGGAAACCTTTTATGAATTCCTCATTTAAATTAAATCTTCCAATCTTCAAAACTTTAGGAAATGCATTTAATGCGTAATATCTTTGTTCTTCTGGTGGAATTGATGTTATATCATCCGTTATTCCTTTAATTTTTGAATTCATAAATAAAATTTCTTTTATATTTGATATCACTGCACCACCTTTGCAAACGAATTCGAAATGGTCATTTTTCAATACTATCTCCAAATCTCCATATTTCAACATTTGCGTTTGTTCTGCCGTCTTTGAATTATATGCATATATGGCGTATGTAATGGTCTGTGGTTGCTGTTGTTTAATCATTTATTACGATTTAAAAATAAATATTTAATCTGTTATCTCATCAGCTATTTTTTCTATTTGAAATTGCCATAATATTTCATTCATAAATTCTAAATCACAATCAAATAGGTCAGTTATTCTAAATTTAATATTTGATAAATCTTTTGAATGAAGAATAAATGAATTCCCGGATAATTGAAACGGATATGATAAAGAAAATATGTTTAAGTTGATGGATAAAATGTTTTGTATTGATGGGTAAGAGTTAGGGTCTAATGTTTGATGTGAAAATCTCATTGGGGTATTAACTTTATCACATTTGATTAAAATGAAATTAGAACCAGTGTCAGAATACAAAACATCCCAACATCTTTTTCAAAATTTAATATCCCCAACAATGAACGAAGACGAGGAGTACAAAATTTAATTTTCAGCGGAAATTTAATAAGGTTATTTATTTCATCAAGTTCAAAAAGTTTATCAGGTTTTGATTTAAAATTTTCTTCATACCATACGATAAATGATTCATTTAAATAACTTAAAATCATGTTAATATCCCATTTCGTTATCACATTATTTATATACATATCATACGTTTTTAGGTCTACGACCCCGCCGCTATGCGGCTCATGGTCATCTTTAATAAATGATATATATATCTGAAGGGTCTAAAAGAATGGGATTAAATTTACCACTCACAGAAACGAGAGTAACATTATAAATTCCGCTAACTGTTAAATTTAATTCACAGTTATTATTCGAAATAATATTGATAATTGACATTTTTTTATTACGATTAAAAATATGGTAAAGCGTTATTTTCCAGTGATAAATAAAACTAGAATAAGATTACCTCAAGAATTCATAAATTCAACGAATAAGAAATTCATTCATGTTATAAATTTTAGTGTTTTCAGAAAATATGAGTCGATGTCATATTCATCATCAGGTTATATTTCACTTCATTCAAATTTAGTTCAATCAAACCCATATAATGACCATTTCATAAGATTTTCAGATGGTATTAAAAATGTAATTGATAGATTAAAATATGAACAGATTGACAATATCGAATTTTTGGAATTTTGGTTTAAATATCCCGATGGAAAAAAGATTGAAGTTAAAGATAAAGCTGATACTATAACAAAAACAATTACAATGACCGATCCGGATAGTGGGGAACAAAAAGAAATAAAACAAACGATAGAAACTGGTGAAAGGTCAATTATTATCGATTATGATTCAAAGGATTATTATTCGATAATGTTAATGCTTGAATATTAAATAGCCTTAACAAAGAATTTTTCAAGTGATATTTTATATTCATCAACTATTTTATTATAAATATCATTATATGTTAAATGAAGTTCAGTTGTTGTTCCGTTCTTTGATATCTTAATTGTGCTAATATCCTTTATAGGATTTATTTTTGCAACTGTTCCGCAGCATGAAACCTCATCATCTATGAAAAATTGAATCTTCACGTCTGAATCTTGAACATCACAAAGAATGGCGATAATGTGAATTAATGATTCATAAGGTAAAATAATTAAACCGGATTGGTCAATTAAATTTATTATTGAATCATAATTATCAGTTATGATATCACGGTAAATTTTCATTAATTCAGAATTAATGTCTATTTTATATGGCGCATTGCGACTGTAATCGTAGATTCCTGGGTTCTCGATGTTTGATGAAAGAGGTGGGGGGTATGTTGGATAAGTGGGAATTTCAACAGGTTCTTTACCAGGTTCAGATAAAATGATTGGGTCTCCATTCTCATGGTTTTCTTCATTCTCCTCATTCTTCGGTAAGTCACGAGTTAATAAATTTGGTTGAGTTGCTGACCTTGTTAATTCAGGACTAACATTAACTTTAACATTTTGAATAATTCGTGATTTATCATCATTTACGTTATAACCAACCGTAATCTCTGCTTTTGCGTTAGTGTTCTTTTGACTAGTGAAACGTCTTCTCATTTATATTCGAATAAAAAAATATATTTAAACTTTTATTTTGCTGGAACTTTTGAATCTATTATTTCCTGTATTTGTTCATGAAGTTGATTTTTAGCATTTTCATCGAAATTAATAGACCGAATATATTCATTAATTGCATTCTTATAATCATCTGATTTCTCAAATTTTCTTTTATCTGATTCCTTAACTAAATCATAAGTTAAACCTCGTTGCTGATATAATGGTTTCTTAATTAAATCTTTGAATGCTTGAGATAAAGCACCTGATGCAATTCTTGCTACTATAATTGGTTGGAATTGCTGTTTAAGTTCATCTTTAACATTTGCGAAAACTGGATCGAATAAAGCAACTTTAAAGAATTTCTTAGCTGGAATTTCAGGTCTTAAATTTGCATATTGACCATCAAACTGGTTAGAATATCGTGGTAATCCATCCGGTCCCTCTTCAATAGCATTTAATTCTTCATTGAAGTAAGAATATGGATTATGACGGTATGAATTAATTGGACCATTTTCACCTTCTCCAATGTATTGTTTAACAGCTTTTCCATTTTCATCAAATTGCATAGGATAATGTTCATTATATGCTTTACGTTTAGGATAATCCGTCATTGTTAATTTATACCCATTTATGACTTTAATATTTCCTTGACCATCAGTAACGAAAACTTCATTTATTCCATCAGGTTTTCCATTTGGACCCGTAATGTCTGCTTCGTGTGCTTCCCAATTTGGTCCGTGACGTTTGGCATATGCTTGAGCTTCTGGTAATGTTAAAACGTTTCTCATTTGTTTAACATCCTTTTGAAGACCGGCAACAATGTGGACTAATTCTTTCATTCCGTCTGGAACTTTCATAGTTCTATTATATGCACCCTTTTTGTTTGTTCCTTGTTTTAATGGAACCTGTAGAAGATTTGCAATTTCTGTCATGTTTAATTATAAATAAAAAATAAAAATTAATTATAAAAAGTTATTCGAATTTAATGGAACCTTTATTTAAATCAACTATTATTTTTCCATGTTCTCCTAATTGTTGATATTGTGTGTAAAGTTCATTAATGCTCATTGGTAAATTCACTTGATAAAGCATAACGTTCAACTGTTGACGACTAAAACCACTGAAAATGAAAAGGGTGGACAGGTTTGATTTAATGTTTGTGCTTAATGCTTTAAAGTATTGAACAGCCATGAAGAATGAACACTGAATGTGTCGACATTGAGTTAATAATTGATTAAAATATGATTTCTCATTAGTTATTAGTTTTGATTTCACCGCATCATCTAGAAAAATGAGTGAATGCAAAAATTCTCTATCAAAATTTGAAATAGAAAGTGTTTCAAATAATTCATCCCGTTGTTTATCAATAATTTTATCCTCTAATCCTTGCTTCTTGATTGTATTATATAATTCTTTATACATTACAAAGTTTTTTAAATAATCTTCTGCTTCTTCTTGTGATAAATAAATAATTGGAATTTTGATTAAATGCTTTAAAGATTCAAATGTATCATCTGAAGGTGAACCTGAACGGTTGATATAAATTAACACATGTGAATAGGGTGAAGTGTTAGCAATAATGATAATTTGTTTTAATATCGTTAATGTTTTACCTTTATTTTGTTTACCAATTGCTGCAGTGATTGAATTTAAGTAACATTCAGAATATGGAATTTTCATTAATTTTTCCTTAGATAGAGCATTTCTATTATCACTCAATGCTTCATTAATCATATCATCTACGTATGTATTATATACTCCTGCTAATTCTTCATAAGGGGTGGATGAATTTAAATCCATTTAATCAAAAATAAATTTATAATTTTAAACATTTCTATTCATCAATATTTCATCATATGAACTTCTATACTGCGGTGGTGTACCTGTTGGATGATATTTCAAACCTTCATCCGGTGTCCATGTCCAATATGTAGTCCTAGTAAACCAAACCTGAGGAGGATTTGTCACTTTTGAACAGTAAGTGTCATTTTCACCCTGAATGATTGGATAAGCTTTCACTTGTACTGTAACTTGTGAGTTGAAAGTTTCTAATCCATCAAAGAATATACCCGCTCCATCACGTTGAACTGGAATAGTGCATAAGAATGAAGTTTGGTCTTTCCATGTTCTAGCTAATGGTGCCATCATCATCATTCAGTGGTCTAGTTAATGAGTCCTCGTATTCTTCTGTGCATTCATTCACTCCATCTAAATCAGAAGCTTGAAGCATACGTGTAAAGAATATGTCACCCACTGTGGTCATCGCTTGATCGGGGAAGTTTCTGGAATCTATAGTGACCTGAAGACCTCGAAGCATTGGATTTTCTAAAACCGTTCTTTGCATTGCATTCTTCGGAAATGTTAACACAACATCTGTAACATTATGAAGAGCGTATGAGAAATCTGAGCTAATACCTTCAGGAGTGATGCAACCTCCATTTAGTGAACGAACGTCAATATGTTGAGCTGGAATCATGAATGGATCTTCCTTACTAAATAAACGTGGTATTGCTTTAACTGATTCTTCAATTAAACCGTATCCTGGTGTAATGCATTTATCCTCTAAAACTTCCATCTTTGTGCATGAAATAATAACGTCTTCAACTGTTGCGTCAGCAGATGTAGCGGCTAAGCTTGTAATTAATTTGGCAGGAAGTCCGATTTGTTGGAATTTGCGATCATATTTATAAACATGATTCATAATCTTTTCATAATTTTCATCAGTTATCTTTTCATAAACGTAATTTTGTAAATCAGCAACTCTTAACGGGTCAACCTGACAAAATACTAAAGTATCCCTGAAAACATAATATTTAAGAATGATTTCACCAAATGATTTAGGATAATCATCGAACGCCTGAAATGCTAACAAATCATTTACCGGAATAATCATATCAAAAGTGACATCAACTTCTTCATTTGCTTTCTTGAAAACTTCTGAAGGGTCAATATATTTACCACATACTGAGTTATCATATTTTTGAACATTATTATATAACGAATGAACAAACTTTTTAACTTTCCTTTCTGATTTTGGTTTATATGTTGCAAATGCGAAAGATTCACGGGCGCAATCCATCTGAAGATAACCAGCATCACCTCTTTCGGTTTCTACTTCTAATTGCTTAAAGCTTTGATTTGATGATTTATAACCAACGAATAAACGCATGCATTTAAAAGCGGCATCACATGTGAAAGCTTTATTTGAAACTAGAGTTGCTTTAACTTTGCGTTTAATATATGTGTCACCTAATTGGTTCACATCATGAGCCGGATTTGTAATTCTTAAATGAGTTTGTTTATCATCAAAATATGGAGCATCAGAGTCATAGCATGAACTTTCAAGTTCTCTATAATATCTTCTACCATCATTCTTTGCGAATATTTCATTTATCTTTTCGAATGAATGAAATACATTTCCATTAATCGGTTTAGTGTTTGGCACTAAATAGTTAGTCGTCATTTATTATTAAATAAAAAATCAAAATTAAAAGATGAAAATGAATTTTTAATTTTAATGAAATAATCAACTATGGCTGCAGGATTCTTTAAGAAACTGTGGGATAAAGTAAAAAGAGGAGCGCATAAAGTTTGGGAAACAATGAAGAAAGGAGCAAATTGGATATTTAAGAATAAAGAAGCAATTAGTGACGTTGCTGAACAAATAGCACCTAATGTTCCGGTAAGGGAAGTATTAAATAAAGGAGATAAGGTTTATCGTCGACTACAACCGATACTAAGATAAAAATAATATTTATTTTTCCACTATCTACCCCTATTTTATTAAGTATTCCTTCAGCAATTCCACCAACTGCGTTACCTGCTTGTGCTCCCATCGCCGGATTACCTGCTTTAGCACCTAATACTCCTCCTATGATAGTTCCTGCCGTTTTCGCTACTGGTGCCAAAAAGTTTGCAACGGGTTTAATAATTTTTGATGAACCCAACTTGCAGCTTTCTTAATTCCTTCCCATAATTTTTTAAAGAATCCTGCCGCCATCTCTGATTTAATATTAATTAAAAAATATATTTCATCACTTATATTCTAATTTTTTATTTAATGATAAATGAAACCGATTTTAAAAATAAATGAAACAGAGGAGGAAGAAAGTGAAAATGTTCAACAAAAAATAAACGTTGTTAAACCAATTACTGAAATAAAAATTTTTTCATCTGTTGATGAATTTAATGACTATTATGCTAATAATAAAAAATTATTTGAAGAATTGACAACATGTAAATTGAATAAAATGTTTAAAGTTGAGGACAGAGTCCAAGACCCGGAGGGTCATGGATTCAAAATTTCAAAAATAAAAGGTGTTGTTAGTTTAAAATCTATTCCTCAATCAAGAATCACCTCATTAATGAAAATTGATGATTTAACAAAAAGAATAGAAATTATTGAAGAGCGAATAAATCAAATTATTGATTTCATAAATTCAAATAATCATTAGTTTTTTAAAGTTTATTTTTTAAAAATTTTTTTATTTCATTATGGTAGTTTATTTTTCATTCATGAAAATAATTATATCTGATTTCTTTTACTCTCTCGTATATACTAGATTTAAAGAATTCAGAACATTTCCCATAATCTCCTAAATGTTTTCTTATCCCTAACGTGTGCCAGTTATTATATGAAACTGAATAAACTTTATCTTTATCTTTACACCTTTCATCACTTCCAATATATTTATATCTCAGTTTTGATTTAGTATTTTCATAATCATTAACGTTTAATAATTCACAGTCTTCCTTTTTAAATTGATGTTTAAGATATTCAGGATTTAATACTCTACGTTTATATGCTCCTAACTTAGTTCTAAAGGTTTTTCTACAAAATTTAGGAATTCCATCCTCTTTAATGTCATCAATGATTTCCATTTCATTATTTTCAATTTCTTCTTCTCGTTTATGAGGTCTTTGATTATGACTCCATTGATTCCATGAAATTAAATATTCTTTATCATTATATTTATACCTCATTAGCTTATTTTGGCTTTCATATTCATTTAATAATTCACAATCTTCATTTTTAAATTGAAGTTTAACCCATTCAGGATTTAAACAATGTTTAATTAATCGCGGAATATCTGACATCATCTATATATAGCTTCTTTTATAAAAGATAAAAAAATAAATTATTTTAAAATTAATGTTAATTTTTTAATGATTTATAAATAAATATATTTTAATGCATCGTCTATATATAGTTGTAACAAAAAAAGTCACACAACCCGCACTCATCTACTACTAAATTTATAAACAATATAAACACTTTACAAACAACATAAAATAAACAAATATTTCTAATAACAGGTACATTTCCTTACTTTTGGTCAAATCTAAAAGTTAAACTTCCACAAATATATGAAGTTTTAACTTTCGGATTCCTTCGGAGCTCCTCCAAAACGTAAGGCATGAGAGAATCTGGATTTGGATCAATAGAAACTAAGTTCGATCGTATCGTATCTTCATTGACCGGAATATGATGATTTCTGTAGCTATTTATCATTGATTGTACGAACAAAAATGATTGTTTCCGTCTATTATTCTTAACACTCTGTACGTAAATATATATTGCCGTTGATAATAAAATTATTGAGATTGAAATTGTCAAAAATATATGAGATTCAATCTCTTGGCGGACAATACATGATATAGGTTTCTGCATATTGGTGGAATAATACAATTCTTGATTGTCTTCTGTAACATTTCCAATTGTATTTTCATAAACTAAGTGATCAACAGCTTTATTTGATAAATACTCGATATCGACATTCTTAAATTTAGAATGGCGTATCAAATGGATGAGTAAATCGTTCCTAGTTATGTATTTTGTTTTATCTAATCGGCAATCAAAGCGTCCTGCTTGTTTTTCTAGCAGTTTTATCTCATATTCGTATAGACTGGATATATATATTGAGTCATCGTCATCGTATATACAACGCCTGTGCATTAATTTGAAACCTTCATGACATTTTGCTTTTCCTTCCGAACAAATTGCATTTGAAGGACATTTAATACACAAACCGGTTGGATTTTCGCTATCACAAAATAATTTTTTCGATGGTTTCAAATAATTAAAAGCAATTATCAAAACAATTGCAGATAAAGCAACAAATAATGCAATAAAAAGCTTATTAACTATTGAATCTAAATGATGATCAAATGTTTCTCCTAATAATTCTTTATCTCGCTGAATATCTGTCCCTTGAATTTTTTGTTTGATAAGATTGACAAGTTCTTCCTGAGGAGCATCATATCTAGGGGTAACACCAAGCTTTTTTAAAGCATCGAATAATTGCCCTCGAGGTACTGCTGATAAATAATCATTATTCATTATAATTTTTGATCGGAGTCACTTTTTTTGGATTTATAAAGAGCAAGACATCTTTACATCATTTCTTTCAATTGTTACACTAGATGTAACACACAAGAATTCAAAGTACAGTTAAATGCCTTTAAAGCACACTTTCATAAGTGTCCTTCAAGAATTTTTCATGTTATTTGAATTGAAAAAGTATATATTCATTTTTGAATATGTATTTATATATACTTGCAGAGAACGAACATTATGAGTGACTACTTCCAAATGAGTTTTCCTAAATTTTATGAATTCAATATCTTTTTCGAGATTTTATATCTAATAACATCATATCAATGTGTAATTAGAATCTCAAAGATAAGTGTTGAAAGTGATCATGGCAGTGTATGAAAGTTCGTTTGAATTCATTTTGATTCATTAGTTCTACACATGATATCAGTAGATTTCATATGTTATAGATAAACGATGAATAGATTTATGATAGTTCAGTGCTTTATGCAATTTATCCAAATAAAACCTCAAAAAGATTTTGAATTTTGCAAAAAAATTTGACATTGACATCATATTTATATTGAATTTCTTTCCATTTTCTGTGATAGAATTAATACATACTTTCATCCTCTAGTGTCGATTTTTTAATATTTTTTTTTCGATGTTTGGGGAAGCGATGGATCGAGATGAACTCGATCGCGAGTTAGCATCTCCAGATTTTAATGCAGCAATTATGGTCAATAAACTTATTCCTAACGAGAATGCCCTTGCAGAGACAGGAAAAATCTTACTTGACCTCAGAAAAAGAGAATATAAAATCAATCAGTCGATTAAGGATGTTGTTCGTGACGACTCCGTATTAGGAAACAAGTCAGATGGAATTTTAACAGAAACAAAGAATTCGATTGTTCAATTATCAGAAAAAATCCAAAGAATTTACAACCAAGCCATCGAAACAGAAAAAGTTGTACGAGAAATCTGTGGAGGAATCAAACCTCTTGACAATGCCAAGATCAATCTTACTATATCTGTTAGAGTTCTTCAACAATATCAACAAATCATGGCGTTATTGAAAGATTTAGAAGCAAACGTTGACGCGAAGGATTACCCAGGTTGCACAAACGATTTAAAGGCCTTAAATGAATTTTTCGAGAAATATGACAAATATAAAAATACTCCACAGTTTGTTCCATTAATTAAACGGTACAATCAACTTCGTGCTCTTCTTAGAGAAAAAATCTCGCACGATTTCGAGCTTGTTACCGGCAGAGGCCTCGTAGATCAAAGTAACCTTCCAATGTGCGCCTGCATTACCGCATTTGGCAAAGAATTCCAAGAAGAAATCATTACACTACTCTGCCACAAGTGGCTCTACATGTACGGAGAGACTTTTCGAAATTCTACTTTAGCCGAAGCCAAAAACCGCTACAACTGGTTCAAACAGCGCTTAGAAGTCTACAAGAAGCAAGTAGGAGACGGTTTCCCCAAAGAATGGCGCGTACAATACCATATGACGTTAGAATTTTGTAAAATGACGGCTGACCAGTTCGAAACCATCCTAAACAAGGAAGATCCAAGCGTCAAAGAATACCTGAATGCTTTCGAGCTCACAGTTAAGTTTGAAGAGAAAATGGCGTCCGCATTCACTCAATCAGTTGAAATTCCATTCGATCCAAACGCCCAGATGCCAGAGTTCGGCCAAGATGCAGACGGTGTCCGCCAAAAGTGGGAATGGCTTCAAAGACAAAAAGAAGGAATTGGCGAAACGAAATTACAGCCAGCAACAGAGTTTTACGGCAAGATCGCTCACGCATTTGCTCCTCATCTCCAGTTATACCTTGATTACGAGAAGAAATCGATTTCCAAGATAATTCAAACCGGAATTGACAACGCAAGAAAGGAAATCGATGCAGAAGAGCGCCAATTATCATCAGCAACAGGTATAGTGTTGAACATGAAGGCGACTATTGATAAATGCGCTGGTTTTGGCGTTGATCAATCTTTATTGAAGTTATTTGTTATGCTTAAAGAGCTTTTGATCCAATATATCACATCATTGACGGGAGCTCTTCCAAGGAAACCCCAGAAAGATAACGATTTCGAGTTAATTTCCTGTATCGCAAATACATCTTCATGGTTTTTGAACATTGCGGACTCTTTGGCCGACAAAATCAAGTCAATCATTAATGAGGAGTACCAGGGCGGCATAGTTGTCGAAGATGTTAAAGAAACAATCGGTGAAGAATTAAGAAAACAATTAGTTTACTTCGCTGATGTATTTATGAAGGAAAACGAGTCATACCTTATGTCAATTGGTGCTTGCACATGGAAACCAAGTGACGCTGATGAGAAATTACCAAGAAAATTGTTGGATTCTTTCGAATCTAGATTTTCTGTCATAAACAACTGGCTAACAATAGACAATCTCAATCGTCTGAGATCTACATTTGTCCAGAAACTTGTCCAAATCGTAAGAGATTCGTTCGTGAAACAGAAATTGATTACATTGGACCAAGCTTCGTCGATTTCATCTTGTTTGAAGGAGTTGAAGTCGACTGTGACATACTGGACGAAGGGAGATAGCCAGATTGTTCAGAAGAGAATCAACGCTGAGTTCCAGAACATAGAAAATGAAGTAACAATTATCATTTCTCCTGAAGTTGCAATGGCCCAAGTCTACGTCACAAAGATGAAGAAACCATCAAAGGAACACTTCCAGACACTCGTGAGAATGAAAGGTCTCAAGGGTCAGGAAGAGGCAAAGGCAATGGAGTCTTACCAGAAAGAACTCGCCGAACTCAACAAATCATAATTTTTTTCTATTTGATTTTTATTTATAAACAAAATTATGTTAAAAAGAAATTCAATTGTTTTTACTCCCTTTCCATGTCTTCGAAAGAACTTTAGTTGGATTTATATAAACATATAACTTTGCTAAAAGTCCATTAGCATATCATATAGTGCATATATTTAACATAGGCTCTTTTTTTTCCTCACTTGGTATATAATTCAACGGAGATCAATCTTTTTTTTTGGTAACAGAGTTTCTAGAGCCTGATCTTTTGTTTCTGTGCTTGATGATTTCTATTTTGAGATATGAAAGAATGAGGCAATAAATGCATTCAACAGTTTTTATATCGATTTGATTATTAATAGTTTAGATCTCATATATTTTTCATTTTTTTTTCTCTCATTGACAATAACCAATGTTGACATATAGGCTAATATTTGTTAATATTTTTTTGAAATCCAGAAAATGAATATTTGCTATGCTGTATTTACAGTTATTTAAGCTGTTTTTTTTTCATTAACAAATAGCGACGATAGAGGAAGTTTGGCCAATAAAAGACTTTTAAAATTAATGTATCAAGAGCTTATTCAGAATTTCGAATATATTGGAGCTCACGTCGAAGATTATATTGACGATAATAAGTTATTTGCTACTTTCGAAATTGAAGATATCGCCAAAATCATGAAATTCTCAAATTTGTCAACAAATAACTTCATTACTATTCTGAAGCAGGCCCATTCTATAACCGATGCAAATACATTATATTCATGTACTCGAAATGCGAATGTTATGATTCAAAACTTCGAAGAAGTCATTTCTCTTCTTAAATCAGTCAGTGAATTTATGAAACTAAGAATATTTGATGGAGTTATTGATTTTTTAATACAAACCGGAAAGTACGTGTCTGATTTGATCGAACAAATACAAAGTCTTCAAACACAACTCAATCAAAATACTGTAGAAAACGATCAAAGCGAAATTATAACAAAAATCATTAATCTTTACTTTTCTGATGATTTTGAATATTTCTACATTTATCTCAATCGGCTTTCATCTCAAGGAAATAAAGACATTCTTTCAATACCATGCAAATCAGAACTATGGAAGAAACAAAATTCTCATGGCCGAAACGTTCTTCATGTAGCAAGTCAATTTGGAGACATAAATTTTGTTAAATCTCTCATCGAATGCGGTTGTGATATAGAAACAAAGGATATTAATGAATGCACTCCACTTTTTTTAGCATCATCTTACGGTCATCTAGATGTCGTTAAATATCTTGTCTCTATTGGAGCCGAAAAAGAAGCAAAGAATAATGATGGACAAACTCCACTCATGGTAGCGTCATCAGCAGGTCGCCTTGAAGTTGTTAAATATCTTGTCTCTGTGGGTGCTAATAGAGAAGCAAAAAATAATAAAGGATATACTCCACTCCTTCATGCATCAATGCAAGGTAACCTTGAAGTTGTTAAATATAGGGTGTCCAAAGGTGCGTTTAGCACAGCGCTCTATATGAGACTATTAAAGGAGATATATGCTGATTATAAATATATAATAAAAAATATGAATATATGTATATGATGAGTATGTTGTATTTTGGCGCCATGCCGGGATATAAAATGAATTTTGAGACAAGAGGCAGTTTCGCGGGAAATTTTGGCGGGATTCTTTTTATTTTTTTAATGAATCATAAAGAAAACATCCTCGCTCTTGCAAAAAAATGCAAAGACTGTAAAAAATCTACGAGACATTGGTAAAATGCTTCGGTATGGATGCTCCTAGCTATTCCACTGTAACGTATCATGTTAGGATGTATCACTTCATGAACAAAAAGGCGCCCATCATAAAAATTGACAAAAAATCGCCGGATCAAAGAAAAATCAAAGCAATTCTTCAAGCGCTAGATGAAGACCCAAGAGCATCACTCAGAAGGATAGAGGAGATGACAAAGATACCACGTACAACAGTCAGTTATTATCTGCACAATTATTTGAACTACAAACTAGCGTATACACGTTGGGTTCCGCACAACCTTAATTCAGTTCAAAAAAATCTAGAGTCCAATCTTCGAAAGAGCTCCTCTCTATATTGCGTGCGTATCAATCCAAGAAGTTTCGCTTTTTAGTAACAGGGGACGAGTCTTGGTTTCAATATGCAACAGAAGCCAAAATCATGTGGATCCCGAAGGATGAAAATCCGCAAACATTCCCGAAGAAAAAAATTGACACACCAATGATTATGGTGTCGGTTTTTTGGGGCGTAAATGACATCATCGCAATTGATATTCTTCAAAAACCTAATACGATGATGCTCAGTATCTAATTGACAATGTTCTTACTCAAATTATCAATTCTGATGAGTTTGAGAAATCCAAACAACAAAAACAAAAGTTTGCAATTCATTTTGATAATTCAAGAGTTCACAAAAGTCATAAGGTAATGAATTACTTGGTGGAAAACAATGTCAAAGTTGTTCCAAACCCAATTTATTCACCTGATATTGCACCCTCTGACTTTTATTTATTCGGCACGCTAAAAAAGAGAGCTGAAGGACGCGAATTCGCGAGTCCAGATGATCTTGAAAATTTTGTAAGAGAGCAATTTGAGCAATTTTCTCATGATGATTTAAAGCGTGTCTTTGAAGCCTGGATCGATCGCTGCGAACGCGTGATTGAATCCAATGGTGATTATATTTAAATAAACTTTATATATATGTAACTTGTTTATTTCTATTCGCAGTATTCAGGTTTGTGCTAAACACACCTTTGGACACCCTATATCTTATCTCTGTTGGAACTCTTAAAGAAGAAGTGAATAATAATGGCCAAACTCCACTCATTTTGGCATCATGGAGTGGCCAACTTGAAGTCGTTAAATATCTTATCTCAGTTGGAGCTAATATAGAAGCAAAGACTCATGATAGATGGACTCCACTAATGTCTGCATCATTTAATGGTAGTCTTGAAGTTGTTAAATATCTTGTCTCAGTTGGAGCTAATAAAGAAGCATCGAATAAATTTGGAGACACTTCACTCGCTATGGCGTCATATCAAAATCACCTTGAAGTTGTTAAATATCTTATCTCAGTTGGGGCTAAATAAGGAAGCTATGTTTGAGGAAATCCGATTACTATTGGAAAAATCTATAATTTTAAATTATCCATTAGATTAGAGAACCACATGATTCCATCACAATTTTGAAAAATAACTTAGTTAGTATCCCTAAGTCGTGTACTGTGGCACTGCGCGCCTCCGTACACCACTTAGCGGTTTTGACACTTTACGAAACCGATAACGTATATTTTACAACACAACCATAACACCAACTTAACCTTAAATATTTACAAAACCATCTGACATATAAACGACTTCACTAATGACTTCACTAATGAATTCACTACCATCCTCACTAAATAAAAATAACCTTATTTTTATTTTTTTTAATTTTTTTATTTCATTACAAAGACATGTCCGACTACATTTACTATGACTCTTTCCCAGAACGTTTCCGTGAACTATTCAAAACTCAAGTAAAACTGAGAAACATGCATTTTAACAAAGATAGACCCATTGACGATGAAAGAAACCCCGAATATATTACAATCCCATATGACGCAAAGTTCATTGCATACATTCCTTATGGTCGCAGAGGAACGAAAACTATTTCAACAAAGAACAAAAATTATTTCTGGAGCGATGAAGAAAATTGCCTTATCTACATAAATGCATACTTAAATAAAGCTACATATTGTACAAAAGAAGGTTGGACTGGATTTGAGCTCTACATATACGACGACGATGGAAACAGACGCTGTGTATACCCATACGATAATATGTACCATTGTTTTCATCAAGCATTAAACGAATACATAGTCAGTAAGGGTCTCATTCCTGCTGAGTAGAAATGTTATATTTTTGTTCTGTCATTTACATAAAAATAAACGTTCTCGCTAAATAATAAAATAAACTTAAAAATAAACGTTGTCAGAGGTGAAAAAATAAATTTAGGTGAAGTGGTGAAATCTCACCTCTTTTTTCACCTCTTTTTTCACCCTAGCCGCAAAGCGGCTCTGACCCTTTGGGTCTGTTGAATTCATTACTTTATAACTCTCTTCCTTGGTTTCTTTTTAGTTGCTTTCTTCACGTCTGTCTCCAGCTTAACTGTCTTTCTTCTTCGTCCGTAATGATACCAGTTACTTCCACCAGTCAATGGGTCAAATGGTCTTTCGTAAGGGTTTCCATACATTCCATAAGGACCATACGGAAGAACTACTGGTGGAGAAGAAACATTTTCTTTAGTTCCATCGACTCTATTTAAATGCATTGTTTCACCTTTCATCTGGTCATTAAAGTCTTTTGCGTGTTTTGCAAACTCATCGTCCTTTCCTAAAGCATTTTCTGACTCAGTCGCAACCAAATTGGATGCTTTATTTATGAGCCCTATTTTATTTAATCTTAACTTCTTTGCAACCCAGCCTCCAATCTTTCCTTTATTTGCATCTAATGTCTTCGAAACCCTTCCTCCACTCATTTTATTTACTGCGTCATAAGCTCCAAGTGCTTTTGCTCCAAATGCTAATGCTTTTGTTCCCATTGCGCCTAAAGCTGCCCAAGCTACCATTTACACCATATTAAAATCATCTCTCTTCAACATTATCTCATAAAAGTTCTCGTTACTGGAGAAAGTCAATGAAACATAAACGTTCTCACGGGCTTCGCCCTCACCGCTTTGCGGTCTATCTAACTTATTTCTTATATCATCTATACGCTTCAAAATGTCTGAACAATTGCTAACATCTTCTACAACAGTTATTTCATCATGAATGACCTTCAAAAACAAACTCATTTAATATGCTATTAAAATCATCTCAATAATGAGTCCATCCTTTCCGTCTTTGGGTAGCACAACATCTTTCATTGAAGAAGGTTCGACAAGTCTTATGTTAAACTTACTGACAAAGTTTGTTATACTATAATGCTTCGGTGGCGAATACATATAGTTTGAAAGACATAATATAGATTCTTCAGCAAATTCACTTATACTGGATTTTATAACAATGTTCTCACGAGACCAAATACCACCAATTGACAATCTTGTAAGCAATCCTGCTGAACCTTCAACTATAAACGTCGATGGTAACATTCCACGAAGGTCATCTATTGACATCGTTGAGTCACTGTATTTAAATATTTTCTTAAAGCAATCGTCATTATCTAACCATGCAATAGCTTTGAAGTTTTCATTCGAATATACATCTGCTTCATTAAATGTAAATCCTGACTTCTTTGCAGAGACGACTTTAAAATCTATTGTGTTTGTTTCAAAATTATATGCTATGCTAACTTCTGAAGGTAATGGATGTCCTTCCGCAGTCAGTTGTTCTCTCACTACCGTTTGAAGCTTTGTATTAAAAACTTTCATGTCATCTCCTGTATCTAAGTTCACATACACAGCAACAGGGAAACTATCTTGCTTCTTTGTTTCATCATTATATCTCAAAACATTAAAGTTCTTCAATAATATTGTTCTTCCTGCTGGAATACTTCTAACTTGTCTTATTTCAATAGCTTTCTCACCTCCTACATACTCTACCCAGTGTCTTGGATATTCATAAGTATACTGACTTTCTTGAATTTTGGTTGGTTTCATCATAACATGTTCATAGTATATCTTTATACTCTTGTCAGTTAGACTCGGTGCTATGTTCTGAATATTTCTGACTTGCATTTTTAATGGAGATAAAATGAAGCATTTAATACATGACGTAGATGAAGACATGAATGAAACTACAGACAAACTTAACTCTTCTCTTATTCTTCCTTTCAGCAAAGATTATGAGTTCTGTTCAAATGGTGTGTATTTCTATTGTGGAAAGATGGGTTCAGGTAAGACATTTAACCTCATTCGTCATATACTCATAACAGAGCGTTTAGGAAACGACTCTTACTATGACCAAATCATTATATCAGCAACTTCAGACTCTATGGATTCAACAGCGAAAACATTCATGAGTAAAGTTCAAGCATCTGTCGTTAAAGTTCCAGATAGCGAACTCATTGAATTTCTTCAACGTTACATTCGACGTAAGAGAAAATATTATGCTATTGTAGAGTTCATACAGTCAGGAATGCAAAAGACTTCAGAAGAGATGGAAAGAATTATTGACAAACACCACTTACGTCAATACTCAGGAGTTTACGATATGAAACGACTTACAAACTACATTCTGTCAAAACTTTCAAAATACCCCTTCAAAAAATATCCATCAAACACTCTGCTTGTTTGTGACGACTTCGCCGGAAAAGGTTTAGTGTCAAAGCCTGACTCACCATTAGCTAACATCATAACTAAAGTCAGACATTACCACTTAACTGTAGCAATACTTATGCAAACATGGCGTTTCCTTGCTTTAAACATAAAACGTCTCATAACTGACTTCGTTATCTTTCAAGGTTTCTCACGCTATGACATTGAACTCATTTGGAAACAGTCAGGTATAACATTACCTTTTGAAGAAATTTGGGAAGCATATAAGTCTCTCATCTCTCCTCGTTCATACCTTGAGATTCATATCATGACTAATACCATTAAAGTCAAAAACATTCCATGGGAACGACCAACATTGTTTTAAAGTTTAACCTTCAATTGACTGATGGTAAACAAATTCCATGCATCTCTGTCGCCATTTCTGTTAATATTTTTGCTGTCATTCATATCATTCACTTCCCCATCCGTTAGCTTTTGAGGATATGCGTTAGAATAGCTGTTCTTAAATGAAGGCTTTTCACCTTTGAGAGCATAAACTCTATAACTTTCTGCATACTTTATGTTTGAACCTCCTGAGCCATCATTGACATAAATTTTTATAGGCTTCCACCCTTTGTTCATATTCCTGCTTCTTCCCTTTGCTCTTTTGTTCAGTAGTTCTACATCTTTATACACAGCTCCTGTCTCAGTGAATTCAACAATATTTTCATTCGTTAGCTTTACATTCAAACCCTTGTCGAGTATATTGTTCATTTCATACATATAAAAGGTTTTTATTCTATATGAAATGAGAAGCAAATCCATCTTAGCTGGTGCCGTTAATGTTCCAATTGAACCAACATCAAATGTTGACTCACGAACGACAAACAATATTGTCATAAAGAACTATAGTTCAGAGTGTTTGAAAGAAAAAGAACCAGAACTGAAATCCGTGAATTTAAACACAACTTCAAACGCTAACGCTACATCAGATGTTAAGTTAGAGTATCCACCACTGGACCAAATTCTTTCAAGAGAAGCCAACGACAACCCTTACACAAATGTTCAAACAAATCCTTCAGATAACGTAGACCATTACCTTCTTCAGTTATACCAAACAATTTTACTCAAAGACGATAAGAAGCTTTTGACAAATCTTATAAGCAAGAACCAAATAATTCTAACAAAGGAGGACCTTGAAAATGTTATCTCACGAATAACAGGGAAACAATGTGTCATTGACTATCTCGACCCTGAAATCGAATGCTGTGGTCAAACGCCACCATTCATGAAAATAGGTAACATCCGCATCATTGAAACACCAGGAACTACAGGAGTTGAGTTTAAGTATAAATATTCGAACGAGTATACAAAACTTTCAACAGAATATAAACTTTGCTTGAAATATGTTTTAGTAAATTAAAGCAATTTGTAATATCTATCCAAAACTTCTTCAACAGTATCGAACTCATCTTCATAATGCAAACCTAATCTTATTGACTTGATGCAGTTTTCACTAACACAATATTTTTCTGTTCTCTTGACTGACATAACTAACTCATTTGTTTCATCAAACAGCAACAACCAAAGTTCATGACCTAATACATAACATTCATACTTTATATTTTTAGCTCTGAGTTCTCTTGTAAGCTGTTGCATTTAATATTTTCTAAAAAGTCAACTTCAACAGTCATTCGCACTGGTGCCTTCAGTTCTACAGGCTCGCCCTGAAAGTCAACTAGTCTGAATTGCATGTCTTTCAAATTATGAGGACTAATGCGAATCCATTTACCTAAATGAGTTGCTATGACAGGAACGTTTGGAATGAACATTGAATTGACTGCATAACAGAAGGATTTATATTCTACTGAACCTTTACTATTAACTCCTGAAATACCTGTGACATTAGCTATTTTAGACTCAATGTACAAACAATTACCATAACATACGTATGGAACAGATTTCATCTCAATCGTTTTGTCAACACTTTTCAAAGGAAATGTCATATGGTATGCTCCCAAAAGAAGTTGTACTCTATGACTCATTCGTGTTATCTTGAACTCTTTCTTGCTACTGAACTTCAATGTTCCCTCAGAAGAGAGTTCGACATCTATGTTGTTAATAGTTTCTTCATTTATGAGAGTATCTATGACTCCAGCAATTTTATCTATTCTATACTCTGCTCTGTTAGGAAATGTTATAAAACTTCTTTTGTCATCTATTTCAATCTCTATGAAATCTGTTTCATCTGTTATGACAAAAGTTGCGATAGTATTGAAGTCAACAACTCTGAAAGCAAGTGCTTCATTCTGTAGACCTAAGTTTGTTTGTAGCTTTACTGTTCCATATTCGTTTGGGTCTGTACTTTGCAAATAGAACAACATTTTATTCTCATTAAAATATGACTATTGCTGCATATGCGTATGAAACAAATGAAGCAAGAAGAGCACATGAACTAGTAAACGAAAACTCAACTTTAACCATTGAAGGCAATGATTTAGTCATTGACGATGGAAAAACTAAAAAAGTCATTGATTTCGATACTTTTAACACTTATGACCCATTCATTACAACAAGCAAGGTTCCTATCATAAATGATGGAACGGTGCAATATATAAATTCTACAGTAGATGCCTCATTAGTGAAAGTATTAAATGTTCTCATTGAATTGTTAAAGAGCTTTCGATTTGACGACAACATTAAATGCCTAAAGAATTTAGTCATGAATGAGAAACAAATTCTTGGCGTTGCTGGTAGCAGTAATGATGTACACCTTATGACATTAGAATATTATAACGAACATAAAGATGAACTGAAAGGAGAGAAGGGTGACACCGGACCTCAAGGACCACAAGGAATACAAGGAATACAAGGAATACAAGGAATACAAGGACCTCAAGGCGAAAACGGTTTGGATGGAAAGGATGGAAAGGATGGAAAAACTGCTAAATCATGGATATGGGACCTTATAAATACTGGTTTAACAGCTGCTTCATATGGAGTTCTTCAATACCAAATCGGAAAGATATGGGCAGTACTTGGTGAAGAAGCTTTAAATGACGTTAAAAATGCTTTGAACTTCATTTCAAATGGTTCGGATACTATTAAAACTTTATCTGGTTGGATGCAAGAAACAAAGGAGTCAAATAGATACTGTAAGACGTATAGCAAACAATGCACGTACGGGATTGGATACTTTACGACAAGCACAAAATACACTAAAGGAAGCAAATGATATTCTTGGCTCAGTATCAGACATGCATGAAGATTGGCTTAAAGGTATTGACAAATCTTTAAAAAATCACAGTCAGTCTATTGCTGACTACAAGAAAAGTATAGATTTTTTACATAGTGCTATGGACGTACATGATGGAAGCATAAGGAACTTACTTAATGCTAACAATAACTTACCAGGAACTATTAAAGCATTTATAAAGTCCTTTGTAAAACCCGGTGCTCTAACATTTAGGTCTTTGAGAGCAAGAGCATTGAAGTCAAGAGATGCAGAAACTCCAACAGAACCTACAGAAGGAACTGAAACAACAGAAACTCCAGAAGAACCACCAAAACCAACAGCTAATGAAATATTGTTCGAATATTTTCCAAGGTACTCTGTTCTCATTGCATACATTCAAGAAATACTTAAGAAAGCAGACTTGACTTTAGGAGATGATGAAAGTTCTGTATATCTTTCGTTCCAGTTTCAAATAGCAGAACTTTTGAGACAGATATGCTTAATGTATGACAACATCTCTGATTTCACAAGATATGATGACGACCATGACCCCGAACACGGTGAAGAAGAAGTTTTACAAACATCCATTAAGACAGGAAAGGTTTTAACACAAAGTCTCATTATTGACACCAAAGATGGTGAAGTGGACGTTCTTCAAGAGCTGAAGAAAAATACTTCTTCGGGAGGTGGTGGTAGGCATGAACTTGAAATAAATGAGATAGAAGAGAAATTAGCCGAAAAAAGCAGATAAAGAACATAAACACAATATCTCCGATATAAATGAACTTCAAGCTACATTAAATAGTAAAGCGGACAAAAATGAACTTGACGCAATGAACAAAGTTTTGAAATCTCATAAACACAACATCTCCGATATAAATGAACTTCAAGCTACATTAAATAGTAAAGCGGACAAGAACCATGTTCATTATATAACTTCAGACGAACAGATTATAACGGACTACCATGGATATTTAACACGAAGTGATGAAGCGAAGACAAAAAATGTTAATGAAAGAAGATATAAATACATTCGTGCTAAAGGTTATGACATAAGCTGTACTGTACAGTATGATGTAGCTAAAGCACCAGAAGCATTTGGTTATACCGGTGAAATTTATGCCTCTACTTTCAATGTTAACGGTGTATTAGTTGAACCAAGATTTACTTTGAGAGTTAAGTCAAAAATAACGTTTGAAGATGCTATTAAAAGTAAAGCTGACAAAGTTGAACTCGAAGCAACGAACAAAGTTTTGAAATCTCATAAACACAACATCTCCGATATAAATGAACTTCAAGCTACATTAGACAGTAAAGCTGACAAGAACCATACACATAAATCCTTCACTACTGTTAGAGCTGATGACATAATATTGAACTTTGACCTTGGTTCAAGTGCACCATTAGAAAATCCAAGTACAAGCGTAAAAGATACTCTTAACAGTTTAGATAAGAGTTGCAGGAACATTGAAAGTCATGCCAGAAACTTTGAAGCACATGAACTACCAACAATGTTAGATAAGAAAGCAGATAAAACTTATGTGGATGCAGAACTAACAAAGAAATTTTCGAAACCAGATACAATGACATTTACAACAGAAATTATAAATGGTGAACCAGCAACTCCATTTGAATTTGTTAGAGGTCTTCAACCAGATACTTTTGAATTTTTCTTGGATAATTCTATTGAACTAACATTACATTATAAAAGTGGAACAAATGCAACATTTCATCCGGGAGATACATTCCAAATGGTATTTAATGACATAAGTTCTTTAGAATATGTTTATAGAGTTATGAGCATATATGATTTAATATATCCTATAGGAGCTGTTTATACGTCTATGAATCCAATAAATCCAAACACTTTATTTGGTGGTAGATGGTATGAAATAGTTGACAGTTTTCCATTCTACACTAATACGCAGTCAATGAAGATGGGAGGTTCAAAGAAAATAGGTATTGAAAACCTTCCTTCACATATGCATAGGTTCAGTGGAAGAACATCTGTGGAAGGAAACCATTCACATTCAATAACAAAAAGAGGTTATACAAATCTTGCAGCGGGTTCGGATAGACAGGGAATGCATAGATATGATATTTCAACTGACCCAGTAGATTCAAGCACAGGTATTTTCTGTGGAACCGCAGGAAATCATACACATGTTGTAGCTGGTATTACAGACCCAGCAGGTAATGGAAAAGATTATATGCCTCCTTATATAACAATACACGCTTGGATACGAGTTGGTTAAAATCTTTAACTTTACATAAATGAGCTTGAAAGAAGTATTCGAACAACATCCATGGAGGTCATTTAAGAAGTTCAATGAAGCTGCAAAGAGTCGGGGATTTACTAACAGAGCTGAAGTGAAAAGGTTCTTTGACAAAAATGTTGTACATCAAACAAAAATAAACCCTTACGACTACTTTTTACCAATTTACTCCAACACTCCTGACGCATACCAATTTGACACTCTCATTCAAAGCAGAAAAGGAGGACATAAACCATTCCTCATCTTCATAAATGTTAACACTCGTAAAGCATATGCATATCCAATGAAAAATAAAGGAACTCGTGAAGTGTTAAGAGTTTTACAAAAGTTTGTAGCAGAACATAACCCAAGTACTTTAACATCAGACCAAGACAGTGCATACCTCAGCAATGAAATCACAGAATTTCTCATTAAGCATAACATAACTCACTACACTACTGAAGACCATAACCATAACATACTCGGCATCATAAACCGCTTCATAAGAACGCTCAGAGATTTAAATCAAGAGCGAGACTTTACCGAAGAAACAATGAAACATTTTCTCGAAGTATATAATTCCTCAACACATTCTACAACAGGACATACACCAAATTCAATGACACAACAACAAGAAGAAAAGTATATACAAAAGAAACGAAGCCAAACACAAAATATCAGAAATTCAACACAATTTACCCTCATTCCTGGTACAAAAGTTCGTGTAGTTCTTGACGACAAACCGTTGACAAAGAAACGTTTAAGGTTAAGTAGAAACTATTATATCGTAGACTCTACACAAGGTAATGGATATCTTATAAAAGCTGCTGACGACTCCATAGCATTTTACCCTCGACATAAGTTAGTTGAAAGTAGTAATGGCAAACTTGCTGAAACCATTGACGAAGCAAAGCGAGGAGTGGTTATTGAAATACTTGGCTACAACATAAACGATGACACTTATAAAGTAAGATATGAAGGAGGTGTTGAAGATGTTATACCATCTAAGAACTTGAGAGAGTCAAAGCCAACACATCTGGGACCATTAGAGCGGGAGTACTGGAAAGACAAAAATATGCCAGAAAGAATAAGAAAATTCTTCTAAACTTTTTCATTAGATGTAAATCAGACATGAATGAGAACAGTCATGATATCATTAATGGTACCATTTATTTACACCAAAAAATAATGTTTATGTTAGAATGTTAGATCTAACACGTTTTCTAACCACTTTTCTAACATGGTCTAAAACTCTCGAAAATCATGAATTTTTGACATTTCCTTATGAAAGAAAAATAACGCTAATTTTTTTCTAAGAAAAATTTTTATCTTGTATGTAAAGATATGATTTCAACAATCGGCACAACAACAATTCAAACTACAGCACCAAACTCGTTAGTCATGAATCCAACATCTATGTTAGTAGAGATGAAAAGCTTCATTCCTTCTTCATATACTTTCGAAACAAAAATCCAGAAGATAAAGCAAGAACTTTTAACAAGTAATTTAGACTGTAGTGCGAAAGATGAAACAAATGAACAGTATCTTTATGAAATGCAGGACATTATTGACCATTTACCCAAATTGCCTGAAATCCAACAACAAAAACTAACTATTCCTGAATTCGACGAAATTGAAGTCAAAACAACTGACTCAGTAGAAATAAAGAAGTTCATACGTAAAGTAAATTATGAATTCCTTGGTTTTCATTGCAACCATAAAGTTATGGACAAAGATTGCGACATGGTTTATAAGAATGTTTCTGACATATATAAATCTGAAGAATTTAAGACCTACGATAACTTTGTTTCATTAGTTGCTGAATGTGTTTGGGAAATAAGAGATAAAGATAGAAGAGGCAAAGTATGGAACGAACAACTAAGACCCGCTATGTTTGAGATGAAGAGAGCAATTGACGCCTTAGTTGTTTTAGCAGGTCAAATTTCAATGTATAACGCAAAAATGAACCCGCAATGTTCAAAATGTAAGGCAGCGATGAGGAAATATAACTACTCCGTCAAAGAGATAGAAAGAATGAGAAACGACTATGCAGATTTAAAGAAAGAAGTAGAAAAGCCAGCAGAAGATAAAATGGACATGTTAGCATTTCTGAACAAAAATTATCCAACTGCTGACGATTTCCTTCTATCTGACGTCAAGAAGAAATATAAAGAAACCTTCGGCATTGTTAAAACATTCGATGTACTAAAAGAAGAAATAGAAGCTACAAAACTGTTTAAAGTCATGAACCATCGCAACATATACCATGTAAAACGCTTGTAAATAGTTATGTTAGAAAAGAGGTTAGAAAACGTGTTAGATCTAACATGCTAACATAAACATTATTTTTGCTGAATTCAGCACAAAATTCTGAGTAAAATGACATATGGCACGTGTCAAACCGTTGAGTTTTCACAAATTTTAAAAATTGCTGCGGAAAGTTCGTCAAAAAAGTGAAGGTTCCCGACGGTTTCAAACCGCCATACTTTACATGAAGATAGTTTACAATGTCAACTAAATATCATGTACGATAGAAACGGTTATGTAAAGTTTACATTTTGTAAAGTTTTGTCCTGATTCAAGACAAGTCTTGTATTTTTTCAGAACAAGTCTTGTATTTTTTCAGAACAAGTCTTGTATTTTTTCAAGACAAATCTTGTCCTGATTCAGAACAAGTCTTGCACTTTTTAGTCAGTTTTTCTTGTAAAGTTCTCAAATTTGAGAACAATTGTCCTGATTCAAGACAAGTCTTGTATTTTTTCAGAACAAGTCTTGTATTTTTTCAGAACAAGTCTTGTATTTTTTCAAGACAAATCTTGTCCTGATTCAGAACAAGTCTTGCACTTTTTCAGGAAATCCTATCGTCTAACTTTACAAATGTCACTTTTTCAACATGATTGCATTTTGGTCGGGAACAACTTTCTCTCAATTTTGTCACTTTTTTCTATCGTCGTGTTTTGTCACTTTTCCCTCAGGGTGTGTGTCAGAAAATATCCAAAATCTTTATAGCCTCGTATCTCCTTCAATTCTTGACGGCTTGACATGTATGACACACCATTCAATTCAGAATTATGTGCTGAATCTTATGACCTTCATTTGTTCGTGACTTCTTTTCACATATGTAACCCTGAATTTTTAACATTTCTTTAACACAGAAAAATAAAGTTAGTTTTATTTTTATTTATTTTTTTATTTTGTATGTAAGGACAGATATGTCAACAAGAGAACACAACAACTGCTATCGTTCATGAAGCCATAAATGAAGAATACGAATACATACAATATAACAAACAACTTGCCTCATTTCGTTCGGTCAAAGATGACATGTACCAAATGCAAAAGTATAATGAATGCTCTTCGTTCTACAAAGCAAGCATATCATTGGTTTGAAAAACCAACAGACAAAAGAACTTTTAGAAGAATTTCCTCATATGATTGCTTCCCTCGGAAAACCGAGAGAAGAGATTCCGTACGAAAATCGCAAGAATTTGGCTCCTGGTTTGAAAAGGTTATTATGTTCATAGACTTTTAGTAAACGCTGTAGCAATGTGGGCTTCACCTCGTTATGCTTGTTATATTTTCATGATGTTAGATGAACTATTAAAAGCAGAACGTGGAGAGATGGAAAAGAAACTTCAAGCAAAAGATGAAGTCAATTGAATCCAAAGACAAAAAGCATACAGAAAAGAATACGCGTTCAGTACCAAAAGGAAAGGAAAGAGTTATAAGTATATGATAATTAACTGAAGAGTTGGAGAAAGAAGAAGATAAAGATATGGTTATGTTGCATTTAGTCAGAAGAAACAACAAAGCTTTTACGACCTTGCTAAAATATATAAATCTGACAGAAACTGGTTCTATCGTGAAAACTTACCGATTTCAATGAACACGAATGAGCAAATAAAGGAAATTGTCAAAAATACTCTTCCTCAACACACTATGACATCAAAGGTTGCACAATACTTACCTTCAAAAGAAGACTTACCATTACTGAAGGAAAAAAATAACAGAATATTTCGATAACTTCAAAGAGGAAGAATGAAAAACTTACCGATTTCAATGAAAAACATTAACTTTTTGACGAAGTGAAGATTTGCACTTTGACAAAATTTAATGAAAAACATTAACTTTTTGACGAAAGTGAAGATTTGCACTTTGACAAAATTTAATGAAAAAGTTAATGAAAACTTACCGATTTCAATGAAAAAACATTAACGTAAACATTAAACGATACAATTTATTTCCTGGACTGTTGTCAAAATGTCATGTTGTCATCATTTTTATTTTTTCAAAAGAGTTAAAATACTGGTAGCACATGGTAACATGGTAACACCATCAGTTCTTCAAAAATATATTTTTGCTTAAATAGCTTCAGGGTCTATTTCTCAACCATTTCACTTCCTTCGTCAATGTCAATAGAAGCTTCTCAACCTTTGGTAAGAATTTCTGTATAACATCTTTGTTCGTTTATTGTTTCAGAGATGAAGGATAATATTTCACATTTGTTTCACCTTTCTTATATTCTTTCTGTCTGAAAGATTTAAAGCAATACTGAAGAAGTCAATATTAGAGTTCTTTATAACAGTATAATGAGTATCTTTGACATTCACGTAAGAAACTCTTTGTTTTCAAAACTACTGCTAACCCTTGTGAAGTATAACGTTTGCGCGTCAATGACGATAGCTAATGGTCTGACATACTGACCAAACTTAGATTCTTCACAAACTTCTTGTTAAAGATAACATTAACGTTTGAAGCAACCATTGAACTCATTCTTGATGGCAGTAGCGAGAGCATTGTATGAAAAGAACTTGCAATCTTGCATGTGTTTCATTAAAATAAAAAGTTCGAAATATTTTTTAAAACTAGCCTTAAAAAATCTAAGCTAATTTTTTTCTAAGAAATTTTTTATTCCTACTAAATGATGTATCGGAAGTTGTCTAAGTTAGAACACTCGGAATAAAACAACTTCTTACAGAAGCTAATATAGATGTTGCAAAGCGATTACGCAACAAACAAAAAGGCACTCGCTGAACATCCTCAATGACTACAAGGTGTAAATAACTTATGATAGAATTCATGAGTTTCATAAATGCAAGAGCATTTCCTTTAAATGACGTTTGCTATTGACTTATATCATAGACGTCAGTACCTCATGACAGTAAGGCGTGAGATGTTTGACATAACAAATGCGAACGTTGGTCATACTTCGTAAAGCTCTTTTCAATGATGTTCGTCAAGAGATGTGGAACTTACGTACTCAAACGTTGGTGAAACACGAAAGAGAGATGAACACTGAAACAACAGAGAAGAGAGATGTTTAATATAGAGCTATAGAACAAGTTCGTAAGCTAACGATGTCATTCGTTCCATTGCACAACCAAAAGAAGGTGAGAGATGGTTAAAGAAAGATGAAGAGAATAGGAAGAGAAATGGAAGTCAGGCAATAGACTCATTGACTTTAACATCGAAGCTTTAGCGATGAACCAAACAGAGACTACTTACACAAACATTTTTCGGTAAGGTTTTCATGAGACTCTTAGAGAAATCTTAAAATAAACTCACAACAGAGATGGATGGTATGTTATAAACTGGTGTGAAAGTATTGAATGTTCTACGTTAAACCCTCAATAATATTGAACATTACTACATCAGCTCTTGAAGTAGAACTTTATATCAGAGATAGAAGCAAATGCTGCAGGTTATTGTTATTGAAATGCACATGACTTCTTTCTGACAAACATAAAGAATCTTACTGAAATAAAGATGTATGATTTAACAGGAATATGAAGGCCTTAACGATTGTCAGATGTAAAAAGAAAGGCAAACCAAAAAAGAGACCATATTAAGAGATGAAAGCACACTGACAAATGACCAGAAAGCCATTTTTGGAAGCTCTTAAGCAAACAGGAAACCCAGCACTTATAGAAAGCTTTTGAAGATAATGGGTGAAAGAAGTTTTATAAGAAGAGAAGCGGTCAGTTCTGGAAAGTATCTGCACATTACCTATAAATCCTCTTTGAAACGCAAGCGTACCAAATCTTCAATGAACTGAACAAAAGAACTTGCAACACTTATGACAGAGGACAATTGTTTCGTTTATGCTTGCATTCAGGCTGGAGTAAATGAAGAAACTATGACACATGAGAGAAGTCATTCGTGTTAGAGACTTTCCTCAAAGTAAAGTACAAGAAATTCTGACGCAACAGGTTATAGCATTTAATGTTACCATTGGTGTATTCAATGACTCAGACATAATGAAATAATAGAGTACATACCAAAAAGAATGTGAAAAACTGTTAGAACTATTGGACTTACTTCTTGTTGAAGACCACTACATGCTAAACGAATTACCAATGACAACATATTTCATTCGCAACTATATAGAATTCTCAAAGCTTGTGGTGAATGAATTGAGAAACAGATGAAGATTTTGATACAAAGAGAGAAGATAAATGTATTGTAGGTATGCTCTGTCATGGGTAAGAGACATGAACTTGCCCGCTATGGATGTTATGGAAAGAACATTGTGGGGAGGTCGACAAATATTATCGAACCTATTTCTTATGGAGAACATTTTCACATATACGATATTAGACTTTATATAAAAGAAATACCTTGCACCATATTTAAAGATGTTATGCACATATGTCGTCAAAGTATTGTGTACCAACTGAAGAAGAAAGGCCGAGTCAAAGAAGTTAAATAAAAATAAGTGCATTCAATCCTGAGCAGTCGTTTTCCTTTTGGCTGACTTTGAGTGTAGTACCGATGGGCTTTCATAAAGCTTTTAACATATGTTACGACACAGTAAAGATGGTTCAGTGAGTGAAAGCATTTGGGTCAGACACTGTGGCACAAGAAATTTTTGGAACGACTTCCTGAACAAGAGTTTTAATATATTTCCATAAACCTCAGTTTATGATATAAACTTCATCTTAAGACCACATGACAGAAGTGAAAGGAACTCCCATCATTAAAGGTTCACGACACATATGCACACACATAACACTACGGACTGCCCTACTACAATAAAGACTAAGGGGCAATTTATTATAAAAGGGACTCTCACAGTGTTATTAATAAGAAGCTATAAAACTATTTCTGCTATGTTTTAACTTTACAAACAGAGCCCGAAAGAAGTATTCCATATATATACTCTAGCACTCTTTATTAGCAAATGACGACAGAACTGGTGTCATTTCATCTGAAGCATAGTAAGTTTATCGGGATGCAGAATACATCTTCATGAAAAACAATAGATTCCCATCAAAGGTTTGCAGAATAGATGAATAACCACTTCGACTTAGAAAAGTATAGCACAATTTTATTGCAAACCCAAGATGTAAAGAATGTTAAGAGAAGGTTTTTGTTAAGTTCCGCAATGACATAGTTGAAAGAATTTGATTTAAAACTTATGACTACGTTGATTTGTTTCAATTTGCATAACAAATTATTTGAAGAACAGAGTGTACTGCTCCCGAATGAATTTAATACATGACCTCTCAAAAATAAAACCAAAGTAGAATCTTATTTCGAGCATGCATCAATGGAAGATGCTCCCATTGCTGT